CCCCAAAACCCCAAAACCCCAAAACCCCGTTTTACATTTAAGTAATTGAACAAGAGATAATTTCTAATTTAATGTATTTTTGATTTCAAACCTCTACAACAAATTAGATAGAAAATTGTTTTTGCGAAATTTTAGAAAGTTTAGAGGAGGTTTATTGGCCAGGATTTGTTGATGCTTCTGAAGAAGGTTGGGGGACCGGAAGGGGTGGTGAGAAGTCTTGAAGAGTGGGAATATTTCTTTCTAACTGAAATACAGGTTCTCAGAGCTCAATGTTTAGTACCTTTTCTAAAACCTTTTTGTAGCCTTCTTCGTCATTCAGATTCATCAATGGTAATTTAGATAAAATTTTCAGCAAAAGTCTTTCAAATCAGCTATTTTCTGAAGCCAGCTTCTTGAAGTTACTCATTGAAGAATTCTTTCTCTCTTTGAGCTGACTCATCAAGCTCTCATATTCAGCTTCATGCAGGAGTCCTTCATCCATTCATTTGCCAAGAATCGTTTTTACTTTGGGTGCAGGATATGAAAACACAATGAATTCTCAGAAAGTCTTCACTTTGTTCAGGGTGCTCTGGCCTCCAAAGATGATGGGTACAAAGCCCACAGCGAACGCTTCAGCATAAGACTCGATGTAGTTTTCGATCTTGTTCGACTTGTAGCGACACTTAGACCCAACATACTTGAGGATGTAGTCGACCACACTCTTGAAGTTCCTGCACATCGAAGTGTTCCTGGCGTCAGTGCGTTGGCGTTCGACTCTTTTGTTCGCTCTTCGGCTGAACCTGTCAATAACTTGTTTCCAGAGAGCTTCCTCAGAAACATCTTTGATGAGTCTTGGTCTTCCTCTTGACTTCTTGCCTCGTAAAAGTTTGTAGTAGAGTTCGTCATAGAAGCATCTGTCAAGTCTTTTTATAAGAAAAGATGAAATCCTGAACTCAAAAAGAGAACAAGGCCCTTTTGGACAAGATTGTGTAGCTACTTGCGAGCAAGGGGTCACATGTTTAGCGATAGGAGTGAATAGTTTAGGCTGTATAGGAGGTTTATTTTCAACCTGATACGAAGGAAGGGACGAGGTTTTTATAACACTCGGATGAATTTCTAAGAGTTGATGGTTCGAATGATGTCATGGCTTATTGTTTTTATTTTTTAAATTTAAATTATGTGAATCAAAGTTATTACCTAAAACTACTTTTCCTTCATTTCTTGCTATATATCCTTTCAAAATACCATCAATATCAATAGAATTCATCAAGTATACTCTCCCAAAGATTCTTGTCATATCCTGACTCTGAGTAGCAGAAACAGCACGACTTATATTTTCTTGTCTAATTTGTTGTATATTTCTGATGTTATTCATTTTATTTCTTTCTATTCCACTCTCTTTAAAAGGGGTTTTGGGGTTTTGGGGTTTTGGGGTTTTGGGG